AACCACAGTTCTAACTTCTATGCGATCAGACTTCTACTGGTATTTTTTTTATCAAGTTCCTTTCATTCAACCGGCATATTCCTCAATTCCAAGTGCTATGCACATTCTCATGTTATCATGGAACATTGTCAATAATAGATTCATGGAATGCAGGCTCACCCCAAGGAATAAAAGACACATCAATTAAAGATGGACACTTGGTCTTTCCGCGGTAGACACGGCAGTGACAAAAAAATCGAAAAAGCTTACGCAAGAGCTTTTGTTGGCAAGGCACAACAAGTGTACAATGCACCAGCCGCAAGAATTGAATTCCTGGCCAAATGGAAGAGGGTTATACCGCCAGATTAAAGTGAATGAGATTAAGGCATTAGGGGTCTGCGTTTACGCCTTATTTTGGCCCGCTACGGAAGCTGAGGATAATCTCATCTGCATCTGGACTGTGTTGGTGCAACTTCGAAAGAAGTAAAATGGATTTAGAGAACCAAGTACGGGAGCTTAGCCGTAGCGGAATTTGCGGTCCGCGCTGCCGTGTTAAGAGCAAATACTGCGGCCGGCGTGGTTGACAACACACGGTGCGACAGACAGAAGTTCGGGTGGCTATGACAGTGCAGTACAAGTTCAATCAATGGCTAAATATTGTCAACATAACAAGTAACTTTATGTTAACTAATGTTAACCGTTACTAAATGTTTAGAATGTTACGAATAATTACCATATGACGCAAAAATAAATTCAAAAAATTCAATAAAGTAGTGCTAACATTTTGACAGACAAGGTCGCAATGATCAAAAGACAAATGTTATCTTGAAAATGATTGTAAACAGTTGTACAAACTTAAGTTCTTCCAACAAGAAATCAAAACATATCCTCAGCAACTTGAAACATATAACTGACGGAAAAGGTGAAATCTATACTCCGTTGTTAAGAAGGAAAAAACGAAGAGCAAAATCTTACTTGGCATTCTTGTTCCAGTGAATTGTGGCCAGCGTCTTCCCCAGCGAAAATCGAAGCAAGAAGAGCAGAATATTAAATACAAAAATCCATTTGGGGCTCGGCAAAGTCCACTCCATGTCTTTGAGTCGCCGTTCGAACATCTCCGAGTGCGGAAAGAAAGTGGCAAATCCAGACAAAATGTCACAGCTTTTGAATGAAAGACGGTGCGGTGTGGACAGCACAAGGCGACCGCAGTCACACGTGTGCGGGGCTCGCGGAACACTGTCCTTTCTGTACTATGCTCCTCCCGACTCGATGATCAGGCTGAGCATCCGTACCGCCTCTTTTTTAGCCGGAATTTCACCTGTTGGACAACAACAGTCGCTGTAGAAACCACATGTAACTGACAATCAGTGTATCCACGACTCGTAGTAATAGTTTTATCTTTATTCCGTCTCTTCAAATGGTGGAAAAATAACAATAGACAATCTCATTCACTCTTTTCGACTGACACTTTCCGGCAGGTGCCGTGCACACGTACCGCAACACATTACAAACTAACCTGTACACAAAAAAGTGGCATACCGAAAAGCACACACGCGCAGTGACTCGGCATTGTAATATGCTGAGTGCGTATTGGACAGTTCATGAATAATAAATTGCGTGCGTGACTTTTTTCATAAATATTCATAACACTCGACGCATTAATATAACTTATGAGAGTGGATTGCGCATCGGGGTCCGGTTGAGCCAAAAACCTCTTCATGGTCGCTCTCACCTCGAAATTGTTATTCAGCTTAATCCCGAAAAGGACGGAAACATGCCTGATTTTTCAAGAGCTCAGAAGTGTCTTTGGCGCCAGTTCTGCGTATATTGCGCACAGGTACAGGCCTACTCGGCAGATTTATAGGGATAGTTTTAAGGTGTAATTTGTAGGCTATGTATCGCTGCGGCAAGACCGAAAAACGGAGGGGGGGCGTTCCGCATACTTCTGAACAAGAAACTGGGGTAAAAATGCTTGGACGGGTTACACGGAAGTTCACGAGAGGGCGTTAAAAAGTTGTGACTTCTCTAAATAATCTACGAACAAAATAATAATAAATATGAGAACGTAAAAGCTTGTTTATATCAATAAAAAGAAACAAAGTACTGCCAATTCTAGCTCTGTCTTCAATGATTAGTTTTTGATTTTTTTCGCGGACACCTTCCAAGTTCTAGACAGAAATTCCTTTTGGTCTTTCGAGTCTTTCAGTTTAATTAACACTGAGCCTTTTTTCCCACGAGAAGTGAGTCAACTTAATAAAAAATACTCGTGATATTTTGAAAGTCTGACTTGACAAGTTGTCAAAAAATCAGACAAAATTTACTGAACTATTCCACACTCGTCTCGTGCATAATTGTAAGTATTATATACACGTATATTTATTTTTCAGCACTTTTATTATACACAAGTCATGGCTTTCAAAACACTAGTAAACCAAGCCCCTAATTATATATTCTTAGACAAATTTGGAAACAGAGATTTAATAGGTCGCAAAATGTTAACGATAAATTCAATAATTGCGTTTGACGATAAAAAGAGCTAACTCCACAAAGAAGGATATTTTGATCGATACATTTTCTAACAGCAAGCCAAATAATGAATTACTTAATATCAACTCTTAAGCGATTTTTTCAACTTTTTTTCAATTGTAATCAAACACTCATTTCAGAATTAAACAAGTTGTTACAAGGTGCTTTGATGTTTACATTTGTACATGATACGTTCAAAATGCATTTTCAATCAGCTTTTCCTCGTGCGACAAACATTGCATAAGTTGTTATGATTTTCCTACATAAATCGCCATAACTCGTGACTTTTCGAAGGCGTAAGAAATGTATGCTAATAAATATTGAGAAAAGCTTAACTAGGCAGCTGAAATTTAGCAAGAAAACTTAGGCTGAACAGAGAGAGCGACTTTAACATTCATGTAACAGTGTAAACCAGTGAAAGTTGACCGAAATGACAGATTTTAAAAAACTGTCGGATTAACACCTGTCTTGGATGTCAGACGCGCCGCCACTCGGTCGCGTGTTCGGCCTACAATCATTCATCATTTTCCATTCCGCCGATGAATTTAGAACAAAATATTAAAACAAAAAAGAAATATGAAAATAAATAAACAGATGAAAGTCCGTGTCACTATGGGAACCCTCCCTGTCTTTCATTACATTTTAATAAGCGAGGAAAAAGGCAGGGGATTCGTTCTAGATTCGTTCTTTCTGCGCTCAAAAGTTACATTCAAAAGTTACAGGGACGAGTGTTCAGTTGGGTGTGTCAAAGGTTTGCTCCGTCACACCAACTCGTGTAGCGATCGTCTTAAACCACGAATAACGAACCTCAAAGCTGATCCCACACCAAGTTCCAACGATCGTGAAACAATTTAATTTGCATCAAGTCATCTTCATGGCTTATTTAAACTTCACTTGCTTGAACAAAAAAACATCTGGACTAAATAAAAACGGTTAGTTTTAACAAAAACTTCAACAGTCTGGGCCTTATGGAATGACAGAATTCTGACAATGGTCGTGATACGGAGTGCTACACCGGCAAAAAAAAAGTGGGACAAAACAAAACAAGACATAGCCCAAACAACAGAAAGAAGAGACGATATAAAGGGTTATACATTGCAGTTATTCTACAAAAACCCTTGAAAAAGCACATTTTTTGTGTTTCGATGTGGGGGATTCACAATAATGCGCCTCCAAGAGTTTGCAACGCGTTGGCCGGTCATTACACGCGCAATCTGTCGACCCTTTCCAAACGCACATTCAGTCGACAGATTTCGCGCGTTGTGATTGGCCAGCGCGTTGCAAACTCTTGGAGGCGCACTGTTGTGAATCACCCCAATGAAACCGTATCCTTTTTGTTTGGTTATTGCAAAAGTATTTAGATATCATTTTTTCACCCCAATGAGAACTTTCATATTCGAGAGCAAATTGGGATGCCATCCCATAGAGAAAACCGGTTGACGATCATGCTTTGCTGGTGAGGTGAAAACTCGCCGGAATGTTTGACATTTTGCTTTCCTAAGATTTCCTTTTCTCTGTTGATTTATTGTTTTCTATAGTTGGCAGTGAGCCAATTTGGGGGTTACTATTTTAACAGAAACACACGGAAGTGTCTTACATTACATCACGGCAACAGCGCCCTCAGTTGTCCGTGAAAACGGAGACAATTTCAAATGATTGGAAGACGGGCATAAAAAGTGTCTGGGAAAACTTTAATGCAGGGACCACTGACCAATATATTGCAATAAAGTTATTTATACCGTTCCAAATCTTTTCGTATAGCACATTGTCTTGGATATTTCCCCCCAATTGCTTTTAATTTGCAGTTACTTATGCTGGATAAAAAGGGTTCTACTCGTCCGTATCATATTCGAACCTCTGCAATGAAGGTTGCCTACGTACTGTACATTATTAGAAATGAAGCTGGCTTGTAATCTTCCTCTCACTGAATGGTTGGAGGTATGCAGTTTGCCCTTTCATATTACGTCATACTACTTTGCGATAGTTTCAATATAGAATTACTCACAGAATCTTGGCTGTTAACTCTTATTTGTTTAAAATTGGTAAAAGAGATAATGACTTGTGTCCTTTTTGTCAAGTTGAGAGTGAAACCTTGATGCATCTCTTTTGTACTTGTGCGTTTTCCACCAATTTTTCGAAGCAGATCAGCAATTGGCTTAAAAAATACCCTGAACATTGATATGCTTTTGGATAACAAAACTATCCTTTTCGCAATTTCTAGTAATTTGGGAATGAACTCAATTCAATTCTCTTGCTTTGCCGCTCCCATGTTTATAAGATAAAAAAGAACGGCGGTAAACCACCGTTTTTATTGTTTTAAAGACGATTTACAAAGATAGTATGCCTTAGAAAAATTAATTTTTACCTTTTACGGAAATTCTGTTAAATTCGGTACTAAATGGGGCCTTTTTTTCTTTACTGTGTATAACTGATTAATAAAAGGCCGGCCCGGGGGGGGGGTTAGCAATATGCACTTTCTAAAATCATTTTGTGGCCCTGAACGACTGTGCTGGTCTTTAAATTCTACTCTCACTGATTAAAAAATAGGAACAAGTAATTTTTTCCAGACGTGAGATATCTGTTCCAGACACATTCAGAATGACTCAGTGTGTTGGTTGCATGATAACTTCATTAAATGTCGTGAGTTGGCAAATAAAACCCAACCTTAACCCCTTTTTTAATGTCTGGATAGGGTTGGTAAAGCGAAACAGTCCAACACGAAAAAAAGTGTACGTGCCTTGAAATGGTTGTGGCGTGGGAGCAGGGACCCCTCCAAAATGAAATAAAGAAACAGAATACTAAAAGCAGAAACGAAATTAATAAAAACCACCACCTCGCTTGAATACACGTCAGAACTTACGTCATTCCACCTTTTAGGGTGTATAAGTTTTTTTTGCAAATGACGTTTTTATCCCTGGCATTGTTTCCGGCACGCCCACGAAATCTTCCATTTATGTCTTTCATACTTTTATATATATTTCATTGTCTTTTTTTAATAACTATCTCCTCATGCATGCACAACCTCTTTAATGTAAATTTGGAACAAATTCAGATAACATAAATGTCATGGTGGTAAATGGAAAATCGATAAAGTGCAAGGTTAGTTTACGAATTAGACTCTTTCCTGCCAACGAATCCCACTCCCAGGATGCCGGCACAAACAAACCTAATAACATACATCCAGGCAGCCCCACCGCCCAGTTCTGGAAGTCACAGCGGTTGCGTCGTGGAAATCCTTGGCATTGGTTCAGTAGTTACCCTACATGTTAGTTGTTAGTTTGTGGAAACCTAGTTGAACTGAATTAAAGCGGTTGAGAAAAAGAAACTGGACTGAATATTTCAGCGATCCAGCCCGATGCTTTTGTTCTTGTTTTTAATTCGATCTTGGGAGCGATGTTTCATTCTCACTTCCCTCCTTCCAAAAGCTTATTGAAAACGCAAACATTTGAACATTTACCCGTCAGAAAGGCCAAAAGGTTACAAACAGAAATATACCCTCCCCGAAAAGTTGGTTCTGGTTCCAGTCATGCCGCGCCTCACATCTCGCTATAATACGGTAATTTACCTCCAGGAAATTATTGAATAAAATTACCCCCATGCAGCCAACAGCCCTTTCTTGGGTAGTCCCTTTGGGAGGGAGATGGAGTACAAGTCGCATTGTTGCTCTTTACAAGAACCAAAGCCTCCAATCAATCATCACAGAAACGTCTCTAGCCAGGAAAAGCAGCGTTTGTGGCACGGTATAGCCATATCTCACGATTAATTTTAATAGTGCCCCTTGAGGAAGCGCAAACCGAGCGGAACCTCGGACCCCTACCTTTTGATAAAAACTTTCTGAGAGAAAAGATGACCAAGTGAGGGCTCTGTTGATATGAGTCATTTATAAACAGAAGCAAATTATACGCTGGAGTGTCAGTCACCGTGCAGGATATTCAAAATATTAAAAACACTAGTACATAAAGAAGTTTTCCTATGTCAATGGGTACCCTTCGTGCGCTCTTAAGAACGGTTGGGCGAGGGGAATTACTTTGACAGTTAAAATCGTTTGAAAAAATTATTGTGCACTTTTGTTGCTTTGCGTCGTGGACGACTGAAATAGCGCCCCCTTGTGTCCAGCCTCAACGCCCAGATTGTTTCTGACTTCACCGGACACCTCGGCGTGCAACCAACTGAACGTTCACAAACTGTCTTGAAATTAACGTCCACAGTTTCCCAGGGGACCATTCCACCGGAGATTACTTTCTTTAAAATACTGTTCTAAAGACAGATCCGTCGATCATGTTAAATCCTGTCTGGTGACAACCCGTACCAAAATAATTCTTCCCCCAAACACCGCTGTCGACTCCATTCAAACAGCTCGGAGACTTGAATTCAAAGCCTAAGACCTTCGCTGTAGTCTCTTCATACCCTATTCAGTTTTATGCCAAATCGGTTTATTTCTGTACAAGTTAAACAGCGACTCATAACTTAATTCCAACTTGGATAAATAGTTTCAAAATCTAAATATCTGTAACCAAGGTCCATTAACATGAAACCGGTGAATATTGTTTATCAAAAAGCTTTCCTGAAATTTTGCCCCTAATATCAATGCACGTTTTCTGAAAACTAACAATTCACTGGTTTTCGACCCCTATCACTATAATTTAAAAAAAAAAAATTTTTATACCACTGTACACGTATTTTGACTGCATTTGTTCAATCTATCATTTCTGCAAGTAATTTAATACACGAACTTAATAACTTTACTTATTTTACAACTCACGGTATCATTTTATTTCATTAAAAATTCTGATCAAGACGCACAGCCAAGTAAGCAACTTGTACAAGTTTTGTATACTGTGGTCTTACTACCCACAATGCCCTGTTGTAGGAGTTTGGAATAGCAACATTTAAGACCGAATCCAGCAAAATGAGTCTTAAGGTTATATTTTTTGGATTTGGTAATTCTGTTGTTTTAAGAGCATACTGGGTTCTTTGTTTTGATGTATCAAACATTTTGGCCATCTGGATAAAAACGGACAATGTACGGGTGAAACATGTTGAGGGAACCCATTCGTTTGCATGAAGCAAGATTCTCCTAAAGGCCGTCACTCAAAAGTTGTTGTAGTGATTTGTGACTTATTTGGTTAGGTTGAGTCATTTTTTTAAAACAATGAACCAAGATGGCCAAAAAAATTTGTATGTAATCCTATGTGAAAGGCACAGTGTCCGAAAACAGAAAGTTTGCTATTTCAATAACTGAACAACTCTCTCTAAAAGATTTGCATCGAACCTTTCTGTGTCGCCCATAATTCCTCTGACTGACATTCATGTACAAAGCATATGGGAGATTTTACAAAGACTTTTTTTCTGGCCAATCCAAACTGGTGCGGCATTTTGGATATATTATTTTAAATATTCCAGGTTTTGATGCGAAACAAATTTACCTGGCAGATACGAATTATAAAATATTAATGCAGCTTCTTAAACAAGCTTTCAGATATCCATGACCCAATCTCTCCTTTGAGAAAAAAGTTAATCTTTTACATCTGTTCTTAAGTTATTCTTAACATTCAATACAAACCTTAAAAAAGAACAGCATTTTGGTACAGGTTTTGGTACAGAGAACTTGAGTAAATAAAAAAGACCCAAAGTGAAACAGAGCAATTGTAACTATGATAAAAGCTTCTGTGAATAAAACCGACAGCGTGTTCACTGAAGAAATGTGGGTTGGACCCTATGCCCTGGGTGTAATGACACACGTCTGTCACCACAATTGGTGTAATGACGTACGTCTGTCGCCACAATTGGTGTAATGACGTACGTCTTTCACCATAACTGCTGTAACGGTGCCCGTCTGTCACCACAATTGGTGTAATGATGCACGTCTGTCGCCACAATTAGTGTAATGACGCCCGTCTTTCACCACAATTGCTGTAACCATGCACGTCAGTCACCACAATTGGTGTAATGATGCACGTCTTTCACCAAAATGGCAGTAATGACAAGAGTTTGTCACCTTAACTAGGGAACAAGCACCTGTGTGCTTGATATAAGCATAACTCCCTGAACCCAAGCACTGAAATATGTTTGCAAATGCAAAGATAGAACTTTCAGCCTAAAAATCTAGCAATTCTGCAGGTCATTGTCAGACCCAAAAAGAAATAATTGCATGCAAATCTTTAAGTCAATATGGAAAATGTTCACACTGGTCTGGTGCCTTCAAAACCTTTCTTATGCAGAATGTCATAACACAGACACTTTTATTGGTCGGTTAGTATTTTACAAGTTTTGCGATTGGCTACTCTTGTCAGTCACTTCTAAAGACACTATAAACATCTCCACTACAGGAATACAAAATAAAACAGACTTTCTGATTGGTTAATTGGTATCTTACATGCCTTACTATTGGCTATTTTCGGCTGAAAAATTCAAAACTTGTGTGCCTCACAATGTACAGGTTTCACAAAAAACAAGCTTCCTGATTGGTCAGTCGGTATGGTACATTTCTTTTGATTGGCTGAATTTCTCTACTCCCTTTTCAAGACAGCATGGTAGGAATTACGGAGTAGTACGTAAGGGAAGCATGACTCCAGAAGGTCTTGGGTCAGGAACGGTGACTCCTTCACGATCTGCATGACGGAAAAGTCACGAGGAAAAATCACAGCTACATTATTTATGGGGTCAATAAAAACAGAAGTCCAACACAAAATCACTTCCATAAAAAAGTTCTCCAATTTCCAGAGTGAAATGTTCAGCTTTTATTACAACCCCCATCTCAAAAGTTCAAATTTCTAATATTTAGACAAATCAAGCAATGACATCATTGAATATTCCCAATAGCCCCCTTTAATGGTGGGCGTTGTAGGAGAGACTGTCATGGAACAGTTGCTCTGTACAATAGTTATCACCACCATTAGCCGGGGCCTCTGGAAATAACCAGTCACAGTGTCACTACGGTCAATGGATTCATCAATAAAACGTGAATTAAAACGTCACTTTCTCCAGATTTTGCCAACTAAACTGATTTTAGCAAAACACATACATGGAAAAATGCTGTCGAGCCGTTGTTTGCTTTTAAATTTTTTTTTTTAGTAGTGAGGGTTGACATGAACTACCTGGTCCAAAAGTAGATAGAGTGATTCCTTTGCTTTGGGTTGGATCTGCTTGCCTGCCTCCCCACTGAGAGAAAGAAGACTGGATGACGCCAACTACAAGGTGAAAAAATGAAAAAGCAATTGATCACTAAGACATGTACAGAAGCGATCAAACGGTCAGCAATACAGAACTTGTCAAAATGTGAAGATAATTTTTTTTTTGGCAACTTACTGCCAAAAACTCCTGGAGCCGCTGTTCCACGTCCCCCCGGCTGTGCAAGGTAAACAGCGCCCCCGCGATGGCGTTGATAGCCTTGGCAAAGCAATGACAGTTGTTGGGGTGCGCGTCCAAGACGGGACTGTAGACGGTGGTCTCGCTGCGGACCAAGACGCGCAGGGAGACGGCGATGAAGACCATGATCAGGCAAGATGTGTTATAGTCCTCCGTTGGATCAACTTCAAGATAAAGAAAAGAGTTTAACAAAACTTCTAATACTTTGTATCTGATGGGAGTTTTTCAGACTTGTTTATGACTTGTGATGGACTTGCAATTGGCTCGTGGGTTTGTGATTGGTCTGTGATGGACCTGTAATGGACTTGCGAATGACTTGTGGCGGACTTGGGATCAACTTATGAGGGCTAATATCGGATCGGATGATGGACTATGAACTTGTGATAGGTTTACGACAGCTTATGATTGACTTGTGACTGACTTGCAACTGGCCTGGGATTGAGATGTGATGAGCTTGTGATTTGCTTGTGACGGACTGGGACTGACTTCTGATTTGCTTGTGACGGACTGGGACTGACTTGTGATTTGCTTGCAATGGACTGGGACTCTCAATGGCCCATTTCTCAACTCACTGTCTTTCTCTGCCTGCAGGGCATGGCAGAGCGTTGGATCCACATTACACGGCAACCCCACACTGGATGCTAGCATATCCACGGTAACCGCATCCTGCCCCGATGCCTTGACGTGCTCTCGGAAATCCGTGATGGTGTTGTAGAGGAAAGGTATCCTGTGATTTATCGTCTGTAAAAAAAAGTGACCAATCTAACAAAATGAGTGATAAGTCATCAGAGCCAATTTTGATTTGAAAGCCTTTCATAAAAATCTTGCAAAATGTAAATCAACGAGAATCCTCAACATTTTCCACCCACATAATGTCCATTTTACACGAGGATGGCAAACTGAGTTTCCTCTATCCAGTGAAAGATAAAATGAACTTAATGGAAAACAAATGGCTTTAAGAACCATTTTGTGGGATCCGGTCTTTATACGAAATAGCGAGTACAATCGGCAAACTGTGTGACCAAGCAGAAAATGCCTCTACCAAAAGTGGTATTGGGGAATGTATTGTGCCTGGTTCTAGAATGAAGCAATTGACCTGTGGTGGGACTGGTCTCTCAACCTTGACCTAGATAGCATGAAGTTTTTAACTAGGTTCTTGTGCACATTCGGCATGCACGCAAAGACCATACATTCCAGCATAAATTTGTTACGTGCACTCAGCATGCCCCATGCCAAACGCGCATAAACTTGTGCGCCTTTTGGGGTGAGTTCGTACCAAAGGACTGTCAATTTCATTTAAAAACAAGCCCTCTTCTGTCCCTGCTCAGAGTAGATACCACCAGCATGCAAAGTTTCAAGCCTTACTTCAGCCAAAACTTGGCAAAATGTGTTCACCGTCATGGAATAATAAAGACAGAAGGCAGCATACTCACGTCTGAGAGCGCTTCTTGAGTGAGAGACTTGAAGGCAAGGATGACGCCGATGATGTTCAACCTCGTCAGAAGGTTCTCAATGGCTGGAGATGAGAAGACAACAAGGGAACTTGTTTACAGAAAAATATGCAAACCAGAGCTCAATATCCATATAGTCAAGCCCAACACAATGATAACCAAATGCATGTGCTGAACAAAATTCAGTCGGAGACCAGTCAGAGAAGTGTAATGCATATGGCATTTTAGCTAGTACCCATTTCTTGCAAAAATTGTTTTCTTGGTTATAGAGTAAATGATAATGATGATCTTAGGTTACTCAAGATCAAGCCTTAGTAACCAAGACCAAGACTCACACTTGAGTTGCGTGCCCAGCTCGGCCATCATGGACGGCTTGTCAAAATTGGTCCTCAGCTGTTGAAGAACGTCTTTGTTCTCCAAGACAAGTTTCTGTCAAAACAAAACAAAAAAATTCGAAACATGCTGAATGTATGTGCTCAAAGTGGTCATTCCAGTCCATGTTGCTATGGTTACTAATGACACGTGATTATCCACACAAACATGAATAATTCATGACTGACCTTGAGCTCACTGACTTGGCTGGCGATGTGCCACATGAGGCTCTCGTGGAGGAATTTCATGCCGTAAGCTCCGATCAACTCCGCCAGCGATCGCAATTCTGGATTTTAAAAAAAGGCAACATAACACCACCACGAATAACAAGAACTTTCTACTCATTTGAACTGTTTAAGTATGGTACCAAGCTGATAAGAGCTAAAACCGCAATTTCCAGATATCATGATATAGGTGCCAGACCTCTTTCCGAAACGCATCGTCTTTTGTTTTGGAGATTCTGAATTTCAACCTCAGAGAGTTTTGCAGATTTCTCTCTGACATCAGTATCAAATATCTCCACTGAAAATTTGGAAATACTTCCAGACCAAACAACGTTTAAGGTAAATTTCATCAACAGACGGGGCATTTTTTGGCTAACAAATTGACATATCCTATTTACTCTTTATAAGATGGTTAATTACAGGCAAGTTTCAGCAACAACCATTTAACAACCACTGGCCAAATTTCCCTGGTAACCTGCCCACAAAATGCATCCTGGGTATTGGGCAAAAATGGACCAGTGGTTAACATATAAAGTTGCCATTCCAACTAGTCTAACAAAGTACGCAGCTACTGACCGGTGACGTCTGTGTACTCCTCCGCATTGAAGGGGAGCTGAGGGTCCGGAGCCAGACTAATGAATGCACGTTGGTAAGGGGAGAAACAGATTTGACCTGAGGTCACCCTCCTTAGCAACACCTCCAAGTACCTACACACCCAAAAAAAAGGTCAAAGGATAGAGGACCTCCACATCTTATCTAGAAAGACAAAAACACTTCAGCTATTGTGGCCAGTTTGATCCAACAATTTGCTTTAAAACTGGGGGCTTAATTTACAGTAAAAATGATTATTTTAATGACAGCAAAATTCTCCCTACCAGTTGGTATACAGCATGGTGATTGTCTTTTCACCGTGACTGTCCAGTTGCTGTGTTTGCTGCAACATGACGTTGTTGAACACTCGGGTCACGTCAATATGAACTATTAAAAAACAAAAAAACAAAAAAACAAAAAATCACACATCATCGAAAACTCAAAGTGTATGAAAGTCATTACTTATTGATGTTGAAAAAACTTTTTTTCTGGCTAGCGCCCCCCCGAACAGAGATATTGACAAATGGGAAGAGTAACCAATATAGGGCTGGGTAACTCGGTTGGTAGAGCACTGGTACGGTATTCCAGAGGCCGCAGGTTCAAATCCCGCTTCAGTCAATTTCTTTGTTCATCTTTATAGTCATTCATAAGCACCTCGTCAGTTTCCCTATATGATTTGTTTCATGAAAAAAGTTGATCCAAAAGTCTGTTGACGTTGCAAAGCTTGGTGGTCAAGTTGCAAGATATTCTTTTCTTATCCAAGAAAGTGGATACAGTTTTTTTCTCCAAGTTTCCGCACAGGCTTGCATATACGATACTTACTTGCTGAATGTAACTTCAATGACGTGGAAAAGGAAAAAAACTGATTTTGTTGCCCATATGGGTAAATCCAGAAATTAGCGGTCCAAAAGTGTGACATTTTTGTGTCCCTGTTACATCTGACCTTTGTTATTTGATATGGAACTTCGGAATTGATTTCAAACTATCACTATTTGCGGTAGCACCATGGATATATCTCTTTGAGTATGTGGGGTTCTGCAAAGAACCGGTGGCACTCAATGTTTCAGACAGTATGCTCTGTCCGTCGTCAGGAGACTGCAGAGGGTCCAGTGATGAGGCAGCTCATGTGGTGTGTAGAGGACAGTGAGGTGTGGAGAGGATGCTAACTCTGGATCCAACCGGTGGCTCGGGTCATCTCCAAGCCAGCGGTCTCCTGACGACGGACAGAGCATACTGTCCAAAACGTTGAGTGCCACCGGTTCTTTTCAGAACCCCACATACTCAAAGAGATACCTCCATGGTGCTACCATAAACCTATCTAGTTTACTTGCTACCTCCACTGTGAAAAGCTTCAAAATCTCATATCACAATTTGTTTGGCAGGTTAATTTGCATTAATTAATTCATCACTCTTGGAAATTAGAAAATGTGTTCTGAACTTTCAAAATCATTTGTCACATGTTGCAGTGACACACAAAAAAATTCACCAATTTATGGAATTACCCACAATAGGCCTAAAGGCTCTCCAACATGTTCAAAGAGAAGATTTTACAAGGAAGCTGATCTTGTTACTTTACAATTCGAAGGTCATACCATGAACTGGCATTTCACAGTTTGGTGTCTCACAAAGTGATCCATTGTGCATAAACATTATGCATAAGATCAGTCAGTTTATGGGTCAAACAACGATGATTTGAAGGAACAACTCTTTACAGATTTACCATGGCTCTCAATGCTTTGCAGGACGTTCATGTAGGTGCGAACGCTGGTCAGAAGCTCGGAGGGTTTCGCGATCTCGTTGGTCTCTGGTTTGTACATCATCATGCCTACAAGGGCTCTATTGAGAAATAAGTGAAAGACGTCCATTAACAATTTCTGCACAGTTGTCAGGACCTTGGAAAGACCTTTCCAGAACTCACCAATTATTCCAATTTTCAGGGACAAAAACTAGGCTTTTTAACCGGCCAAAGAGGTATAATTACATGCACATGATGAAAGAAAACAATGAAAGCATTGTACTGAGTCAAAACTGAACTTCGAATTGAAATGCACTCTCTTTAGTAAAAATGGAAGTTACACCCTTTGAGACCTTGTCCAAACATTTCAAGACCCCTTTTGTATCCAAGTGTCCCGTGCAATTGTTCTCAATCTGGCTTGAATTTCACAATTCAATTCACACACAAAAAAGGCACTCTGAATTTCATGTGTCATTTGCACAAAGTCTTGTATATTGAAAGGTGCAGAAAACACTGTCGCCAAAAACCCAAGATATTTGGGATTAATTAAGAATGGAGATTGAACTAATGGGTCATTCTATAAATTTAGGTTCCAAAATGTGATTTTTTCCATCTCTGTTACCTCTGCCATGTTTACCATCTAAAAAATTTGACAACGGATGTATCACTGAAATCAATTTCAAGCTAGTTTCGTTTATTTGGCAGGTAATTTGCAGCACTTATTAAATCTTGGAAATTCTTGACTTGGTCTTGGAACAGGGACGGGAAAAAAATGGACCCTGAATTTACAAAATGACCCTAAAATGCAGAGTCTTACTTGGCAAATCTGGCCTCCAGATGTTGAATGAGGTACTCCCTGGGAGCAAACGTGTGCTCCCACACGACGATTTTGGGAGTGAAGTTGATGGCAAAGCACAGCTCCGTCAGGCTAATGTGAAGCTTGTCAAAGCTGAGAGCAAAGTGGAAAACAGAATGAAGTCGTAAAGGCTGGTTCAATCTTCAGATGAAAGTGCAACTGAGGCGATTATGACTTCACCGAAATCTGTAGCTAAATTTGTTTTCCATAACTCTTCCGTGACTTTCCGGGATAACTTTTTCCAGGATCTTCTGTGACTTTAACTGACTTTTTCCAGGATCTTCCGTGACTTTCCAGGACAACTTTTTCCAGGATCTTCCGTGACTTTCCAGGACAACTTTTTCCAGGATCTTCCGTGACTTTCCAGGACAACTTTTTCCAGGATCTTCCGTGACTTTCCAGGACAACTTTTTCCAGGATCTTCCGTGACTTTAAGTGACTTTTTCCAGGATCTTCCATGACTTTCAAGGATCTTCTGTGACCATGGTAAACCTTTCTTTGGTATGAAAAGCCGCAACGGACAGTGACTTACACGCTGAGTTTCTCACGCGTCTTGCGATGGCTCTCCGATCCGGGGACTGTTGGCTCAGGGATGTTCTTGTTCTTCTTGTCTTTTTCCTTGATTCGTCGTCTGAGATGCTCGTTCTTGGCAAGATGGGGAGCCGCATTCTTGGGCAACAGCTGTTGGGAAAATTAAGGAAAGCTTGACAGTTTAGACACACTTATATTTAACTTTATGCTCTTCTTTGATGTATAGAAACAATTTGACATCCTGTTGGGACTAAATGTACTGAAAAAATGCACCTTTTTAACATACAAAAGATTGTCCATGCTTTGGTGGACAACAGAGGGCGCTGTTGCTGGGATGTCAATCAGTGAAAACACTGATCAGTTTGCAGGGTTTTTTTTTAAATTGGAGACTGAAAAGTCGTTCACTGAAAAAAAAAATTGAGGAAAGAGTTGCTCATTGGCTTAATTTTCCCCCCAAGGAATGACATCACAGTTTTGCTTATGAAAATGGAAGTTTGTATTAGCATTAAAAAGCAAAAAAGCACCAAAACACCTTTTAAAAATGCAAACAAAAAAATAAGCTTATTGAAACAAACAGGTCCATTTTGAGGATTGTAGTAAAAATATTGCATTGCTTAGACCAAAGTACAAACTTGCACAAAGTAATTACTTCTGAACAATCATTCACAACGTGGAAAAAACAACCAAACCTGATCGCTCAGAATGCACTGTTCTGTGCAGATCTTTGTCACCACATCCTTGACCTCCTTCGCCAGCCTGTCTAGGAATGCATTGGTGACGGTCAGACTGCGGTCTCCAATGTGATACCTCTGTACAAAAAAATTAAGCAAACCACATGAGTGGCTGGATAAGAGACTAATTACTCCAAGTGCTCAAAGTTGTGACTGATTAGTTCAAATACATAACTACACTACACAAACACATCTTTATCGAAGAATTCACTTGGCAGTTTCAAAATAACAGGGTGGTGGCGAAGAAAATGTACTGTCAAGCTGATATTACACTTAGGAAAATTACTGAGCACCAGTCAAAGACATGTTATGCCACATGACATTTCTGGTTGGTAACCAGTGCCGTTACACTGTCCATTGAAATACATCCCAACAACGCACCTGACCATTTTTTTGCAAATTCCATTTTTTATGATTGCTTTATTGTACTTATATGCTTCTTTATCTATTAACAAACAAAACAATGAAGAGGAAAGTTTATGACAATACTTGACAAAAGTTTCAAAAGCACGGCAAAACCAAGCATGCAAAGGGTGACCAAACTTACGAACTTCCATACTTCTAGATCTCGACAAACAATCGAAAGTGACCAAAACGCTGGTTACAAACACGACCAGAGAATTCTACTGTGGTCAGAAACTATGACAATGGGTGTAATGAGTACAAGACATGAGAATCACATTTAAAAAGTGGGTAATTCCACACCAAAAGAAAAAAAAATCAGAAGAAATGTTTGAATTGTCAAGGCTTGACATCAAACTATAAGACTGAATTACCTGTAAGAATGCTGAATATTTGAAATTTGGACCAATAATCAAATATTTGAATAACTATTTTCAAATCATATATTCAGAGGTAACAATCAATAACATAAAAGAGGGAAAAATTGGAATTCTTTGGTTTTACAAAGTTACATAAATACGGCCTCCAACAAAACTATTCCACTTTTTTTTGACATGTGAATCACTGGGACACAAGGAATATATTATTTGGACAAACTATCAGCCCAGTTCCACACTTCCTCACACAAGTAAGTATTTGCCTGCAACTGGGACCCCCTGTTGTTCCTCTTTTGTTTGTACTTTAACTTTTTTAGAAGACCACCCATATGTTTTGTACACAGTTGTCAATCGGGGACCCTCTGTCAATCGGGGACCCTCTGTCAATCGGGGACCCTCTGTCAATCGGGGACCCTCTGTCAATCGGGGACCCTCTGTCAATCGGGGACCTTATTGTCCTCTATTGTTCAGGGTCCCCAATTGAATGAAGAGACAAACTCATTTATATATAACTACACGCTTTGAGACCCCTCTCCAAGAGCTCACAAAGACTAGTCTTGTGTATACTCTGGGCAAAGCCTGTCTGTCCGTCAAATCAGTCAAAGAGGACCCACCTAAGATAGTGACTGAATTTTGGACTGTTTTCGACTGTTCAAATGATCTGGGATTACAAAAGGAAATCAATTTTGATGAGTACCAGAGTTTAATCTTATGGCAAATGTTGCATTACTCATTAAACCTAACCCCCTAGGGAGTATATAAAATCAATCTGAAATAGGGAGATTTAGGACTGTTAAGGAAAGGCATTATTGTGGGTCAGTTGTAGAGGCTGATCTGGCATCCTACTTATTAGTAACAGACTTCTACTACAAACAGCACTAGAAACCAGTTTACAAGTGATGCAGGTGAAAATGACATGACGAGACAAAAGTGTATGGAATTACCCACAATTCAACATGCAGCCATTCCATTCATGATACATGCACCCTCTGATATGTAACCACCACAGTTTTTTTAACCATGAAGTTGGTACAACTTTCAAAGTCAAGGAACCGCAAAACATGTTCTAAAATTGTGAATTATTTAGAAGACATGCAGTACGCAAAATACTTTAAAACTCTTCTGCAGCAAATTGGAATTCTTTTAATGGAGAAACCCAAAGAGTGAGAAACATTTTGACAAAGAGCCCGAATGAAGTGCAGGGAGAAACTTTAATGGAATGGCTGATGTGACAAACGGTTAAACCTTACCCTATCCATAAAATATGTGCTCGTTTCACGCTCATTTCGTGCACTAACCTGAAAGAGTTAGTGAGTTTTAGTTTTAAGATCAAACAGTTAAGGACTGGTCAGAGGACCCCCCCCAGCTCAAGACAGATGAAAGCCAGAAGTTTGGAAAGATCTAGAATGAAACTGGAAAGCTTGGTATTAAAGAGCCCAGGCAATGAAGTTTTCTTCGACACACTTTCTTGTGCGACTTAACGATCTTTATTAATGCATGAAATCTATTCGACCTCGTTTTGGGGTTAACTAAATGAAAAGTGAAGTTTTTTTATGACGCATTTAAACATTGTCCATGCTCTTCTGGACAACAGAGGGCGCCGTTGCTAGCAAGTTAATCACGCCGCTCTATCGTATATAGGTTCTCTGTTGATATTGTTAACTGAAAATTTGATGAAAACAAAGACTGCTTGTCTTAATATGGCAATGTACTTAAGCAACAATGATTCCCCAAAGAAAAGGAAATTAAAAACAGCAAAACATTCAATATTCCAGCAATCTTCTGCACACCATTCAATAAATATTGAGCTTTTTCTCCCTGGAATAACATCACAATTTTGGTCATGAATATGGAAATTCAGATTAGCATAAAATCCAAAAGGGTACCAAAATAACATACACAGTACCAAACAATTAAAAATGAGATATATAAAACCTAAAGGTGCGTTATGAAAGGTTGTGGTAAAAAAACTGCATTGCAAAGACCCGTTGAGGTTAAGCAGGTTTGGGTAACGAGTTAACACAACCATGTCGTCAGTGGGCATTGGTCAGACAATTAGTTGATTGAGCACAAACAAGTTATTGAAGTGAAACGAATGTGCATGTAAAAAGGGTGGCGTGAAAGGAAACAAGAATAAAAGTTGGATTATTAAAATACAGTGCCTCCGTGCAAAGATAAAATCTTTTGCTGAGTTCTGGCCAAGAATCTATGAACAAACAGTCTCAGGTGAAATTTGAAAAATGGAAGGACGAGTGGAGATAATGTGTCAATATTTCTAAGGAATATTAGAATTCAGCAAATCATGAACCAAGGAGACATGGGAAGAAACGATTAGTTTTGCTATTTTTTAAAGTTTTGATGTTAGGTAAAGAAAAAAATCAGTTCTCTGTGCGGCAAAGAAGATATGCCGTGGTGGTGTTGAGGATTAATGTTTGTGTTGTTCCTCCAGTGAGTGGGAGTGATTCACAATAAAGAGCGCCGCCAAGATATTGCCGCAGAAAGTTCATTTTCCAAAGCTGATGAGCAGGTGAAGCATTGCAGTCTGGCATTTGAGTGTACGTCAGCAGACAAACTGCTACTCATGAATAATTCAAGTTCCCCGTGCGCAGAAAGGGAATAGAATTTATAGACCATTTCCCACAATGCACTGCAATTAAGTCTTTCAGTGGCAACCTCCTGGTGGCGCACTGTACTGTGAATCACCTGTGTTGCACAACCCTATTAAGTTGGCAGTTTTCCAAACTGTCATTTTCTTAGTTCTTGTAGTGCCAGTTTGAAGCCGCAAAACCCTCAAATCAATATGCTCGCAACAAAATTCAGAACTGCAGAGTGCACGTGAAACCATGCAGTCTGGTTTCATGACAGTTAAAAAAAATAATAAAGCTGCGTACCTCCTCAGGGCAAAGTTCGTGGGTGCAGTTGATGAAGTGCGTACAGATCAACGGGAACGCAATGGCATAACGCGCCTGAGAGGCGTAGCTGAGGCACATCTCAAACATGCGGTCAAAGAACCGACTACGATGGCTGGAATGAGACGGTAAAATCACAAGATTTCTGAAATTCTAAATTTTAAAATTCTAAAGCAAATTCTAAACTTACTGTATGGAACACAAATTGTCCTACTGAGCCAATCAAGTTACAAGTCCCTTCACAAGTCCAGTTACAAGTCCCTTCCCAAGGCCAGTTACAAGTCCCTTCACAAGTCCAGTTACAAGTCCCTTCCCAAGGCCAGTTACAAGTCCCTTCCCAAGGCCAGTCACAAGTCCCTTCCCAAGGCCAGTTACAAGTCCCTTCTCAAGGCCAGTTATAACTAACAGGGTGAACAACGACAAAAGAATGCTTTTGTTACAGCTCATTTTAATAGCTTGTGAATTGGCTTAACTCTGTTAGGTATTAACAGACAGAATCCACTCAAAACTCCAACGGGATTAAAAAAAGTCTATCGAGAACTGAATATGTTACGTCTAAGATCCTGGAGTTACGGAGGTCTGAGATTCAGGATTCCTACCAGAAGATGCTCAAGTCGGACGTTTCATTGAGGATCTCGTCCAGGGCATCCACCATGATGGTGTGGAAGACAATGGTGTTCATGGTCCGAGCCAGCTCGTGATTCTCAGTCAGGATGAGCGTGGCCTTACGGATGCTGGTGTAGGCTTGGAGACGGAACCAGTCTAAACGGAAGCCGCGGAAGTCAAACACTTCTCCCTTCTCTACTACGGATGAAAAAAAATTGAAACGGAGGACGTGATTTTGTGTTTTTAATAGTTATTTTCTGACTTTTTATGTAAACAGAAGAGTACGGTACAAGTCCTTGGACTACTCCTTTGGTGGTGTTTTATAATAAAACTGATTTGAGATGAATTTTGTGTTTGTCTTGGCTGTGTCTGCAACAAAGGAACTTTCTGTTTAAAATGAAGTGAAGGTATACAAAGCCTCATCCCGACATGGGGTTCGTCCATTCTTGTTTAAGTTTCAGCCTAATTGGACAGGGCTTGTTGTAGTTTAGGCGTATCTGCCAACACTGGGAGATCGGAAAGTGCTGGTTTTGTGTCACGTGTCTTTGTGCGCCTTTGCAGAAAGGACTTCACACTCGATCTCAAGGAGAACATGCATTGTGGATCACTGTTGTTTATCATTCCAGCTCACCCCGCTCTGGGCATCTGTGTATTTATCACCAACGAGCAGCCTTCCTAGATGGTGTGAGGTGCATGAGACTTTTTTTTTCAAATTTTCGTTTATTATGATTTTTATATCTTTGAAGACTCAAGATTTGGAATGGTTCCAATGAAATTGGAACTGTTGGCAGGTAGGTCATGGTCACATTTTGAACAGAAAACTCAGATCAGTGTCCTCCGCACAGTACGATTGAAATGAAACTTGGCCTATGTATGGGCATGGATAGGCATGGTTGGCAGGGGGCTGATCGTCACATGGTTGAGAAAAAAAGGCCTGTTTACGGGGTTAAAATGTGACCAATTTACCTTGCTGAAGGCTGAGATTTTCCATGGTTTGTACAAAGGAAGAGAGAATGACCGATTCATCTTCTGAGCACAATGGAAGATTCTGTGAATAGGAACAAAGCAATAACATGCAAAACCATAATACCGGAATCGATACTTCAAATCTGTAAGTCATCAAAATCACTCCCAAGTATTGTAGTATTCAACAGATTCAAGCCTCTATGACAAGATGGCGGCACCACTGGCTTTTACAGTGTTAGATTAGGAGAGGGCTGGAACCATCCTGGCTGAAAAAAATGGCTGACGGAGCTCATTACTTAATGAAACAGTTCGGCAAAGGAAACTTTAAAAAGTTCATAATGCATCATGTTGGGCTAGGTCCAAAGATGACTATTTGTCCACATCTGGCAAATTTTCCCTGGTAACCCATGCACAAAACATATCCCAGGTACCAGGCAAAACCGATGCAGCAGACAAACAGTTGCCACTCTAACCTGCCCGTTGTCAACGACAAACCTAAACAATTTCAGAAAGTCACCAGTTATCTAGCTGAATCTAATCTTCCACTCACTTGAGTGTGCCACCAAACAAAAGACCACGAGCATTAAGAGTGATACCAAAAGTCGACCAGGGGCTAACCTTTGCGAGATTGTTGAGAACGATGGCATCGTAGCCATTTAGGTATTGGATATAGTATTGCTGAAGAACTTGATGGTACTTCTTCACCAGTGCTGAATCAAAAGGATAAAAAATGAACGATGTGTTAAACACAACAACCTGACAAGCCTGTGCTTGAACTGTGACTTTAATTGGCAATGAACAGACTTCTATTCTAGAGGTACATGTAGCCATGACCAACTCATACAAAGTCTGAAGTTGCTTTGCTGAAACCTCAAGTTACAGCAGGAAAAAAACGTTTCTACTGCTTTTAGTTTTTGAAAATGAGTGCACAGTAGTTTAAAATAATTAGTTCTAAATTTACTTGGAAGAGGACAAGGAGATTACATGTCTGGTTGGTGTAGTGGTTCTTTCCTCGCCTTCCGCCTCTGCGGCCCGGGGTTCGAATCCCGGCCCGGTCCATATGTGGATTGGGTTTTCAGTCCCTACCTGATTCCGTAGGTTTAACCCAGAATATTCTTCTGGGGTTTTCCTCCCACCTCTAAAACTGTAACTGCTTCTCGTTGTCTCCTCTCAACAGGTTTCTTCCGGCTTGCAAGCTTACAGTGCCTAGGGCGCTTTTGAGGAATCCTTGGTGTCATAACCACAAATAGATAATAACAATTTGTTCAAGAAAGGTTCAAGTTTCCACACCTCTGAGTTCTTCCATGTGAAAAAGCATCTCTGGCAGCAAAGGGTCCAGGAAATCATCCACATTTGTCTTGGATTTCATCTTTGGATGAGGGTGTTCGGCATGACGGACAAGCCACAGGATCTCATCACGGGCAAAAGCTAGCCCCATGAAGACGTACAACGCCTGCGATGGGAGAAACATGTAAGGAACGGCAGAGATTTATGTATCTGATAAACACTTGTCAGGGGGCTCACACCAATGGGAGCCCCAACTGTATTGTGGGAAAAAGTGGACATCACGTGACCCTATAGCAATCATGTATAGGTCTACAGCATCGGACCTTGTCCAAGTTTTCATGACAAAATCTTCAAGCGCCCCTTCTCTGTCATTTCATGAGATGTAGTGATTGGTCAAAATTTTGACATTGGGCCACTCAAATACGGGACATGTACTACAGTGCACCACCAAAGGGTTGCACAGAGACGCCATTTCCAAGTTTATGGTCAACAAAAGCCCGGTATAAATGGATATTTCTCAGTTTTTAAAATATGAAGTTTCGGAGCGACATTCTACCCCTTGAGTAGTTAAAATGAATATTCAAAATGCCCTTGCGACTCTTATATCCAAACAAATATCAAGAACATGTTGAATTCTCTAAGCAAATCCATGGAACACAATTTGTGAACCATTTCCCACAATGCCCTGCAAAAAATGGCATCTCGTCATCAACCTCTTGGTGGCGCACCGTACTGTGGATCACACCAATATTGGTTCCTGAACATTGATATCAACACAATTTTGAAGAGCCATACTTTTGGTCCGAGGAGTCCCGGTTGGTCTGACAAGATGGTGACCAGTTCCTTCAAAGCTCCACGCAAGAACTTCCGTCGATCGCGGTGCACGCCGGGGCTGCAAAAAAAACATACATGAATGAAAGTGGAAGAAAAATCCGACAAGCAGAGGTGTAAAAATCTGAAACAAAGGCACTGAACCTTGACTTCAAAAACCTGAGCTCTTGGAATTGAATAATCCACACATCAAATGTTTGTCAGAATGATTGACGTTATTTTTAAAAAAACTTTTAGATGCAATGTTCTCAGTTTCTCTTATTTTCATTGCTAGCTGGTCATGAGAAGACTTCAGCAGATACGAGACCTGACCATTTTCGTTTTTAAACTTAAAACTGACTAAGCAAATTTTGAAAGAGAAAAACTCTAGTTGAAGAGGTTAAATAAAGTGAGTCTTTAAGACTTACGCATGTTGCAGGGCGTGGTTGCAACATTCCTTAACTTCCAACACCCTCTTGTGAAACCCCTTGATGGTGTCAAAGAACACCTCAATGTATTTGTGGAACATGAGGACTTCGTCGCGGAAAAGCGTGATGCAGAATCCGCCTTGCAGGGCCGGCCTCCAGAGGGCGTGAGCGCGCTCGTTGCTCTGAAGGAGAGTCGGACAAACCAGGAACCCAACTGGTGGAGAAAAGAACAAATTTTCTCAATTTTTTACCATTCAGCATTTTAAAAATAAAGGCAGAAGAGATCCACTCGAAAAAAAAAAGACCGATGGAAGAAAACAACAAGATTGGCAGGTTTAAAAATGTTCCAGTCAGTGTTGGAGTCAAGTACATCGTAGGGGCTATCCTGAAATCCTTCATAAGTCCTTCCACAAGACCAGTCGTAGGTAATAGGGTGGACGATAAAGAAATGCTTAAGCCACAGTCCATTTGAATAGCCTGCGGCTTCGCTTAAGTCTGGATGACTTGTGATGGATTCGCAGGGACTTGTGGGACTATGGCACTGGCTCTAGTTTCTTGTAATAAAAGTCAGATTTGATGTTTCTGAAAATATGAACCAATATTTTTGTAAAACTCACGGATGATCCATCGTTCCATGGTATCAAGGGACAGGTATTCGCAGCGCATCTGAAGAAACAAATACAAAATGAAAACCCATTTACAAGGTCTCATCTGAGAGCAGACCAAAAATCCTCGTGGAATTTGAAAATAATCGTCAGGCAACCAGAACGGAAGATTTCAATGTCAACCATGTCCATGTTGAAAACTCCCAGAAATACCTCTGTGCATTTTGAGAAAATCTTTGAAACAAAGGGAAAAACAAGAACATGGCTTCAACAACTAAAACCAGTCAAAAATTCTGGCTTTTCGAATTCATACTGGAACGACAAAATTATCTAAATGCATAACAGGAAATGTTCATTGTTCTCCTAAAATCCTTACATCAAGCCTATTGACCATTAAGATGGCAATTTTCATTGAGACTTTTCAAGTGAGACTTTCTCGGCTAGTCTCTCACTCCAGTCGCGGCATCATTGACTTACGGTCTCGCTCTGTGCTGGGTTCAAGAGCAGAGCTGGTTTGGAGACTAGGCTGAGCATCTCCTGGGATCGCATCTCGCCTGCCATCATGTTGCGCCTCGGGTAGAGATGGAGCAGAGAGAACAGGGCCGAGGCAACACACTGAGAACAACGAGAAAGCAGAAATATTGTCAATGGTTCATCTTCATGTCGACGGCTGCATCAGAATGTGTCGTCTGGAACAAAGTCTAGATCTCTGTCCATTGGAATTAGCAGGTACCTAAGGACGATAGATCTACTTGTGAGTCAAGGAGCCAGTAAAGTGTCCATATAAGACTGGACACTTGACCTCGTATCATGAGTGCCTATAAGACAAAGACTAAGGAGCAGACTTTTTATATCGTGCATGTGAAGACAGAGACTTAAGACCTGACCTCACATCCACTTGAGTATGAGGACACAAACTGAAGACCTGTCCTCATATGCTAGCATGTGAGGACAAACAACACTCTCCATGCTCCTGGCAATGAATTGGTTGACACAGCTCAGCTCTCATGTAAAATTTAACGTCCAGGCAGACGTATTGCCTATTCCATGATGGAAAGTTAAAATAGACTCTGCATCAGAGGTCAATGATGTGCTGGCTGTTTTTCGACTTAATCTATGCAAGTTATTGAGGGATGTACACCGACTAGGAGCTTCTACACAAAAGCATGGGAACAAAATGGTGAATTTTTAATGTTCTGGGCAAATTTTCATTTGGCATAATCATTTCTCACCTTTTCCAAGGGAACAAACTGCTGGGTCAGTTTCTTGACGGGGCTGTCAAACTCGACGATGAGTGTGCCCAGACGGGCAAACGAGGGCTCACTACGAAAAAAATATGAGAACATTCATATCGCACTGACAAACAAGTCCAGATGGCAAGACAAAAAAACATTTCACTGGTAAGTTACACATCAAGGACAGTAGTTTCACAGCTTCAGGACGATCTTTCACCGTATCATATCAACAGATCGAAGGGAAATTTAAATCCATCTTCAAAACGCAGGCCCTTCCCCCTAAAAAACAAGCACTTTTCATGCCTACATTTTATGTGAAATCCTTCATACTGCCGGTTGCCATTCACACTGCCTCAATATGAAGAGAGGAATTGGCGGAGGATTTTGAA